TTTTTTTTTTTTTTTTTTTTTTTGCGACTGCGGCCCATCACAGCCGTGCCCAGCCGCGGGCGTGGCCTAGACATCACGGCCGTGACCCATCCGCGGGTGTGGCCTAGACATCGCGGGCATGACCCAGCCACGGTCATGGCCTACACATCATGGCCGTGGCCGCACGAAAAAAAAAAGAAAAAAAAAAGTGACGTACGAAAAAACAAAATCTCACGTGCAAACCCAAAAAAACTGAAGCAATAAAAAAGGGGAAAATTTGTCTGGTGCCCCTGTAATTTTCATTATTTTGCGTCGCGCCCCTACGACGGCCCACTTACCCTGTCATGCCCCTGGGGTCTCTATACTTTCCTGCATGCCCCTGTCAGCATGGGGCGCGACTTTCCGCGGTGCCCTTACTGGATGGCCAGCCTCATTTCACCGGTAACTTTGTGTCATGGCCTGAGTTTGAAAAGGTGGTTGTAACTCAGGCCGGCTGTGGTGTCAGGGTGGCGGTTTTGTTAAGGCAGCTCTGTTTTTTTTTTTTTTTTTTTTTTTCAGCGTCTTTCTTTTTTTTCGTGACTGCGGCACATCACAGCCATGCCCAGCCGCGGGCGTGGCCTAGACATCACGGCCGTGACCCAGCCGCGGGTGTGGCCTAGACATCGCGGGCATGACCCAGCCACGGTCATGGCCTACACATCATGGCCGTGGCCGCACGAAAAAAAAAAAAAAAAAAAAGTGGCGTACGAAAAAAAAAAAAGATCTGACGTGCAAACCCAAAAAAACTGAAGCGATAAAAAAGGGGAAAATTTGTCTGGCGCCCCTGTGATTTTCATTATTTTGCATCGCGCCCCTTCGACGACCCACTTACCCTGTCTTGCCCCTGGGGTCTCTATACTTTACTGCATGCCCCTGTCAGCATGGGGCGCGACTTTCCGCGGTGCCCTTACTGGATGGCCAGCCTCATTTCACCGGTCCCTGTGCGATATGCCCTCACGAGTGGCATACATCTTTCCATCATGCCCTCGCGCCAGAAATTCGGATTTAAACATGTGGGTTTTGTGGCGCTGCCACAAAAAATGACTGTGTGTGTGAGACACAAACACACACACACACACACACACACACACACACACACACACACACAGAAAGAGACACACACAGAGAGAGAGAGAGAGAGAGAGAGAGAGAGAGAGAGAGAGAGAGAGAGAGAGAGAGAGAGAGAGAGAGAGAGAG